GGCCAGAGCAGGAGCTCTCAGCAAGGCTGGGGACAGAACACGAGCATAGGGGTGACTTCAGTGGCTGCTGCTTCAGCTCCTGTACTCTGCACTTGGCAGGATCCTGCACTGCCTGGTTTCAGTCTGTTTCCAAATGACGATCCTGCGGGACCTGGAGAAGCTGGCAGGATGGCACCGCATCTCTATCATCTACCTTCTCAGTGGCATCACTGGGAACCTTGCCAGTGCAATATTTCTACCCTACAGAGCAGAGGTGGGTCTCCTGCAGACCAGGGTCCTGGTAACTTGCCCTGAACACAACCCTCCTCTCCGTGGCTGTGTCTCTGGGGCAGAGGCAGAGACACCAGAGCTGGCTCGTCACTGCTCGTCCCCTTGGCACATGGGGAGCTAGAAGATGGCACCACACCATGAGCACCAACATCCCCCAGAGCACCCTGGGCTCTCCCAGTCACTGGCCTGGGCTGGCTGCAGGAAGAAAGCTGCCCCATAACAAATGGGGAGTTGCCAACCATGGGGTAGGAGAGGCCTTGGGCAGGCTGGGAAGTGAGCGCTGTAGCTGGTGCCAGAGACCCTCCATGTGAGAGTGGCACGAGAGGGGCAAAGGGCAGAGCTCAGCTTGCCCACAGAAGACTGCATGGCAGGACCATCTTCCAGGTCCTTCCATAAGGAAAAGTGCATGGCGGGTGGGGAGAGCCAGGAGATTGCCTTCAAGGGCTTCTCTTCTCTGGCAACTTAAACCAAATCTGCCCTCAAATACAAAGTCTGTTCTGGGGATTGCTGGCCTCACACCTTGGTCCTAAATCCAACCAGGTCCCTTTACTCCTTGCACCCCATTACAGGGATGAAGTTGAAGGCTGCGGTGTCTCTTCCCCAAGAAACACTGAACAAGGAGTTGAGTAACAAGTAACTGATGCCTGGGGCTGGCAGCAGAGGCCAGGGAGACGGCATGAGCCTGACCTTATCTGTAATGCTCTTCTTCTGCAGGTTGGCCCTGCAGGATCCCAGTTTGGGATTCTGGCCTGTCTCTTTGTGGAGCTCTTCCAGAGTTGGCAAATCCTGGCACGCCCATGGAGGGCTTTCTTCAAGCTGCTGGCTGTGGTGCTCTTTCTTTTTGCCTTTGGCCTCCTGCCTTGGATTGATAATTTCGCTCACATTTCAGGATTTATCAGCGGATTCTTCCTCTCCTTTGCCTTCCTGCCCTACATTAGCTTTGGGAAGTTTGATTTATATAGGAAACGGTGCCAAATTATAGTTTTCCAGCTCATCTTCATTGCACTCTTCTCAGGACTCGTGATTCTGTTCTATTTCTACCCCATCAAGTGCGAGTGGTGCGAGTTCCTCACTTGTATACCATTCACAGACAAATTCTGCGAGAAATACGACCTGGACGCGCAGCTCCACTGAAAGGCAAAGACTGGCCTCTCGAGCAGGCCCTGGAGATGGACTGTCTTTGCATTTGCTGTGCCAGTTCCATGGGGACAAAGCCTCTAATCCAATGACACTTCTAACCCTGCCCGTGGTTAATTTAAACTGTCTCCTTAGCACTTGGCAGGCATGTTTTGCCTTATCTCAGAAGACTCTGAAAACAGAACGTTTGTGCCTTGTTCAATTGTATTGAACCTTTTCTGCTGCCATTATTTTTATTACACTAGTTTCAATACTACATTTTTAACCAGAGTTGTTTACTACTGCTAAGGTGGTGATTAAACAGTGAGGTAGCGTTTTAGCTACTGTTAATTGTTCTGCATAGTCTGTGCCTACGTTTGTTACTTAATCTCACTTACACTGTTCCATGTCCCAGGAGAATCAATCCCCTTTGAGCACCAAAACCAGCCAGATGCAGATCTGCAGCTGGAAATAAGGGCCTGAAAAGCTTCAGAAAACTAGAGGGTCTCTTTAATCCCTGGAAGTGCATTCCACATACAAACAGCAACTACAAAAAACATGTGAGAATGTCCAGTCAACAGAGTTTGCTCCTCTTCGGAGTGTTAAACCTTTTCCTCCAAGAAAGTGCTGAATCCACAGTCTGGTCTTGGTAGGGCTGGTTTGTCTGCTCTCCCTCTGTTAAGGAAAGAAAATATTTGGCAGTGACAATGGTTACTGCATGTTGGGCTCTTACCACCACACTGCCCTGACTGTCCAGGAGGGATCACCCAGTGCCACAGGTGGTCACAGGCACCCTGGAGCAGGTGGCTGCTCAGAGGGCACATATGTGGATGCTGCAAATGTTGAAAGAAGAAGAAAAGGTTACTGTGGTCACAAAGCAACAGTTTCTAACTGAGCTACCTGGAACAGCAAAATAAAAACCCAAAGGTTTGCACAAACTGCTCTTCCCATTGTTCTTCCAGCCCCGTGATTGTGTTTTTAGAGACGTAATTTTAAACTGACTGAGCCTGAGAATCTTGGCCACATCTTGTGTTTGCATGCACAACTTCCTAAAAATAGCAGTGTAATACCAGAATTACATCTGCATGAGTTACAAACAGGTACATACATGTGGCTGCTAATGCTTCCTGTGCTGGAATTGTTCTTAGAGGCATAAGCTGCACAGAAACATTTATGACCAAAAGTTGCCCAGTGATGTGTCCTGTGTCTAGAAAACAGTGAATCAGCTGAACTCAAGTTTCTATAAACAAGGAAATGGACAAACTGGGAGTCAAAAACTACAGGCTATGTAAGCTGAGGTCCCTTTCTTAATTCCTCACAGCTTGCAGTAATTGAGAAGAATGGCTCAATACACATCCACTGTGGCACAGCAACAAACACGCTGTGTTTGCTCGTTGCCTTGGCCTGGGTGCACCAGAGGGACATTTCTGTTGGCTGCAGGTGCTCAGCGTGGCACAGGAGTGGGAGGAGCAGGCTGGGAGAGCAGGCACTCAGGGATTACAGTCTGAGGCTCTCAGAAGGACCTGAGTGCCCTGGTGATGACCATCATCTGTCATACAGACACCTTCCTCCTCCCAGGGATTCATCAGCATCCAGCCACGCTCCTGACAGCGATTCCCAGATATTTAAGAAGCCTAAAAGAAAGCAGTGTCCTAGAAGCAATCCCAGCAAAGGAACACCGTGTTTAATGAATCTCAAGACACTGTGAGAACAGATTCAGAGTCTAAACAAAGCAGAGTTAGACACCACTGCCAGCACTGAGACATCCCCGCCGCTGCTCCCAGTGTGTGCTACCTGAAACAGCTGAATTATCACTCCCTACCCTGAGAGGAGCACAAACACCACCACCAGGATATGGAAACAGGCCACAGCCTCACGCAGGAATGCTCTGCAACAGTTCTGAGCCTGAACACCATGGCCCAGGGAAAAAGATGAAGAACTGGGAGCTGTTAATGCACATTGAGGACTTACCCAACAGGTCACTTGCGAAGCTTCTTTATGAAGCTGACCTCATCCCTGTTTCTGATGCCATACCTGAACAGAGAGTTAGGCTGTTATATGCCAGTTTTCCGGGAAAAACAACCTTTAAAATTCTATAGTCTCCTCTTTCCCAGGGGCAGATGGACTCCTACGATCACAGGACACAGTAAAATTCTCCCATGCTGCCAGCCCTAAAGGATCTGATCATCTGCCTTTCCCTCCAGCTACCCCTTAAATGCAACATCTGTCACCCATTGCTCAGTCTTCCAAGGTCAGCTTTGCTGTCTTGCTAAATCTGTAATACTTCAGACCACCTTTTCTCACTGATCTGCACACAGGCTGGCACACCCAGCACTGCTGTATGGAACAGCAGAATGCTTGAAAGTGCTTCATCCCTCCTCATTCCCAAGAATGGGCACGGAAATGTGGGAGTCACCTGTCAGTGGTGTTAGCAGATTGTCTCTGAGAGGTGGCTGAGCAGGTCCAAAGATCAACACACATATCCTTAGTTTGCTCTTTCCTTGGGATTCTCCGTGGACGTTAAGGGGTTGGAATGGACTTTAAAGATCATCTTGTCCCAACCCCCCTGGGCCACATGCAGGGACACCTCCCACTAGACCAGCTTCCTCAAGGCCTTGTCCAACCTGGCTTTGAACACTGCCAGGGTTGGGGCATCCACAACCTCCCCGGGCAACCTGTGCCAGTTCTTATTCCCTCCTCCTTTGTTCCAAATCAGCAGCTCTGCAGGGCTGAGTGTAACCTATTCTGCAGGAGTTTGGGAGGGATGACCAAGAGCTGTGAGTCCCAGTGCCTGGGGTGGTCTGAACTGGATAAGCACAGCACAGGATGGTGATGGCTAAGGATCCCCCCCAGGACATCCTGGCCTGCAGAGAGCCTCTCAGTCTGCCTGTCCCAGCCAGATCCCAGCGCAGGACCCACCTGAGCCAGGGCACAGCCTCAGCCCCGCCTGTGGGGATGCTGCAGGGCACCCACGGCGCCTCTCAGCCCCCCAGAACACACCCAGAACTCACTCTCGCAGCTTCTTTCTGTCATCCGCCAGCTTCTCTCCAGCGTAGGTCAAGTGGTACGTCCTCCATATGTACTTCCTGGGGGAAAAACACTCAGGGGGAGCCACGGGAGAGCGGGACAGGGTTGGGACGCGCTCCAGACCCCGCTCCCGGCCCCGCTCACCAGCTGAGGTGCTGGACACCGCCCTGCCGCGCCTGCCGCAGCTGGAAGTGCCTCCGCAGCGCCTTCTTCAGCTCCAGCACCGAGGCGTTCTGCACCACCACCACGGCTGCGGGGGCACAGCGGCTCAGAGCCCGCTCAGAGCCCGCGCCGTGCCCGCCCCGCAGCCCCGCCCGCCCCGCACGCACGCACGGTCTCGCCGTCCGCCTTGCAGACCCGCACGGTCATGGCCTGCCCGTACTCCAGGGCCACCTGCGAGCCGATCTCCTCCGCCGTCACCTGCGGGGGTCCGGGGGGTTCGTGAGCCCGCGCCCCGCCCGCCCCGCCCCGCGCCCCCGGCCCGGCCCGGCCCCACCTGCGGCGGGAGGTCGCAGAGCAGCGGGTCCTGCACCAGCCGCGCCAGCGCCGCCTGGAACAGCTCCAGCACCTCGGCGTGGGGCAGCTCCTGGGCCAGCTCCGGGGTCAGCTCCTGGGGCAGCTCCTGGGGCAGCTCCTCCGCCGGCTCCTCCGCCGCCGCCATCGCCGGAAGGGGCGGGGGGCGCGGCGGAACCCGCGATGCTGCTCTTCTGCCCGGCCTGCGGGAACGTGCTGGTGGCCGAGGAGGGGCCGCGCTGCCACCGCTTCGCCTGCACCACCTGCCCCTACGTGCGCAATGTCACCAGGAAGGTACCGGGGGGCGCGGGGGGTGACCCGGGGCGGGGGTGACCCGGGGCGGGGGGTTCGCGGTCCCCGCTGAGCTCTCCCGTGCCCGCAGGTGACCAGCAGGAAGTACCCGCGGCTGAAGGAGGTGGACGATGTGCTGGGCGGTGCCGCGGCCTGGGAGAACGTGGACTCCACGGCAGGTCAGGGCCGGGCCGGGGGGCCGAGGAGGGGCCGGGCGGGGGTCGTGTCCGCCCTGCCCTGCCCTGCCCTCCCCTCACGGGCGCTCTCTCTGTCCCGCAGAGCCGTGCCCCAAGTGCGAGCACCCCCGCGCCTACTTCATGCAGATCCAGACGCGCTCGGCCGACGAGCCCATGACCACGTTCTACAAGTGCTGCAACCCGCAGTGCGGGCACCGCTGGCGGGACTGAGGGGGCTGCGGGGATGGGGCGCGGGGGTCCCGCCGCTGCAATAAACCTGGCACTGGGTGCGAGGAACCGTCTGCTGCGTGGTTGCTTTAACCCTGCTCCGAGCCGCCGGGCGCAGCTGGGAACAGCGGGCTCCAAGAGGGTGTTTGCCTGTGCGGCGGCCCCGGGCAGGCCCTCAGCTCACACAGTGCAGGGGTGAAAGCACTCAGCGTGAGACTCGTGCCCTGCACGCCAAGGAACCTGTGCTGGAAATGCAGGCGGGCCTGAAGGTAAATAAGCTGAAGGGTGGCGATGAAACCTCAGCACTGAGCCAGCTGCTGTGCCACGGCACAGAAGGCAAAGCAGAGGTGAAGCGTTTCCTCTGTTGCGTTACAGATCTTTTTACTGATCATCTAAGAAAAATGGCAGAGGGATTTTGACGTAACAAAGGAAATGTAAAACTTAATACTGTCTGTTGAAATAAAATTCAACACCTATAAAGGTGTTATAAATGTGTGAATACACATTATGAATGTGTATTCACATTCAGTATTCAGAGCTAGGGAATCTAGCAGAAAACGAGCTGTTTGCATGTTATATAGTGCAATGAACATTTGTTCTCAAAGACCTCCAGTCTTTCAGCTACTTTTAACAGAATGGAATCCCTACTGGAAGGGTTTTAAAAGCATTCAAGATGTAATATCCAGAATTACTAGGTGTTCATCTATAACCTGACAGTTTCTCTATGCAAAGCTGTGCTCTCTGTGTTACAGAGAGGAAAAAACCAAAATGGGACCTTTGCTGTGGAAATGCCCTAAGTTAAATCAGGAACCACAAACTATTCACCCTGCAAGCAGTTATTGGTGAAAATATACTTCAAGCAGGATCACGCATTTATTCTGTTTTAACATCAAGCTTTATTCTCAGTTTAAATACATTCAGAAGTAAAAAGGATAAATAACTTAAAAAAAACACGATGGAGCAAAAATTGCAGCGTTTCATCTGCATTAATGCTCCCTCCTACAGGCTAAGCCAATTTGATATGACTCAGCTTTACCTCCTATACAGGGATAATCTGCACCCACTTATTCCAGTTCACTTCAGAGGGGAACACTCTCCCCAGCCTGAGGGTACAGTCTATCGTGGGCTCGTAGTAGATCGTTGGGGTTTCACTCAGTTTGGGATTGTTGAGTTGTTCTTCCACAACTGGCTGAGAGAAGAGTGACACTGGGGATGGCTTTTTCAGGTAGAATCGTCTGATACAACCCAGAGTTTCCAGACCCTGTGGAAAAATTCATTTATTTTAGTTTGGGCAGTTGCAGTGGAAAAAAAAAAAAATGCCCTGAATGCTGCTCTGCCTACAGTGTTCTCAGAAATGCTGGGCAATTTATACCAAAAGTGGCTTCCCTTGAGCCCCTCAGGGGAAGTCAGGCTTACAGGAAGGGCTGCAGTGTCACTGCTGTGCTTAAGATTTTGAATTCTTATAGGAAAAAAAAAAGTAAATCAAGATTCAATTTCCAAAGTAGCAGTGGTGCCAATCAAACTTCATGATGGGAAAAAGATAAACTCAAAATTTTCTTGCCATGTACTGTTTCACAGTTAAGGATGTGGGCCTTCAGGCAGGTGTGTCAGGACAGAAGGTCTCATTTACACACAGCACAGACACATCTCAGTCTGGTTCCTGCTTCACAGACTGCCCACCTAGAAGGTATATAAGGAAAAAAATTGGGAACACTGGGATTATCTATAGTGATTGGGGGTTGGAACCAGATGATCTTTAAGGTCCCTTCCAACCCAAACCATTCTGTGATCCTATGATTAACACTGCATTAAACAGCCACTTAGTATTTCACAGTGACAAGCCCCCACTCTTCAGTAACCACTTAAAATCTCAACTCCCTGTACACCCATTTCAGAAGCAAGCTCAGTTTTTGAACTCAGTAACAGGGTAACTCCAAGGATGGGTAAATCAGGCTTCCCTCCTTCCTCACTGTGAACACTGACTCGCTCTGGCTTTGGTTCATTTACACCAAAGGGAGAAGGTGGTTTCTCGTGGTTCATTCACACTCCTGTTTTCCTGGGACTCCCAGCAATGGATCTGCTGGCTCTTGGAGTGGAAGCTGAGCCGGATTAAAGCTCCCAGAGTGGCTCAGGTACCTGCAGGATCTCCAGCACAGCCACGGGCTGCAGCACCCCACTGTAATGCTGCAGCAGCGCCGCCTCCGTCAGCCCCGGCTTTGTCATGACGTGATAGAGCACAGCCTCCATCATCCCCTTGCACACAGGCTTGTTCAGGTTCCCATCCACGATCCTCCACGGTCTCCCAATGAAGCAGACATCCTCACAGGCCCTGCAGAACACAATTAAAGCTCAGCTCTGTCAGGAGTTCCTCTAGTTAGATTTCCCATCAGAATTTCCGCATTACAGAGACTCTCACTCCATCCGCTGCAGTGTTTGCTCACAGGTGTAAATCCTGTGGCTGCTCTGAGCAGGGCCTGGTGCTGATCTACCAGACAGCTCCAGACCTGCAGGATTTCACTTTTAGCACCATTACACACTCAGAAGTTACCCTGGGTCTCTGACCAGGAAAGCTTTGTTTGGTATTGGCCCTAATATCCTCCAAAAGTTATCCAAGACCTGCTTCAATCTGCAAAAGTGCTCTGATAGGAAAGAAAATCCTCATTTTTAGCAGCATTTTGGAGTCAAAAGACAGACCCTGCATGGAAATTCCCATTTCTCATATTGCAGTTTCTCCAGGCCTTTCCTGAGCACCTGAAAGTTGAGGCTTTCTGGCACTGGACTTATTTGTGAAGTAAAATCATTTTTTTTCCTCTGATATTTGGAGCCAGTTGCTTTTGGGGTAAAAACATGTATCAGAGAAATTTTTCCAGCATGCATATGAGTGTGAGTAACATGAACAAGGGAGGAAGACCTGGGGTTTCTCCATCATCAATTCTCACTGCCCACCAGAGCACAAAACTAAGGTTTCCAAATCAGCTGCTTCCAGTATTATTTTGGGAGTGCCAAGTGTTCAGTTATTCTGCAGACAGCTCTGTTACTCACCGGTCCCTGGCTGCCTGGGGGGCATCTGTCATGGAGCTGCCTGCAAAGAAAAGGACACACATTTTCTAATTAACTCCAATTCCTTATCTAGTGGGAAAAAGAGTAAAAGGTGGCCAAGCTGTAAAGTGCAACAGTTTGTTAGGAAACCACCTGAGCAAACTATGCTCAGTTGTGGGGAGCTCTGAGCTGCCTCTGACCTGCCTGCAGCACCCTCCTCCCACACCTCCTGCCACAACCACATCTCTCTACTCAAGCACACCTTTTGTGGTTCCCTTCCCAAATCCCAGCAAGAAGCTTTATTCCTACAAGTCTGATGACACGGCTGGACCCCAGGTGACTGCATGGGCTGAGGGAACTGAGTGTCACAGGGAGCTGTGCAGGGTCTCAGCCCGAAAGCTCCCCCGTGGGTCTGGTTAACCCAAACTCCTGGGAATCACATGGAAGCTGAGCAGGAGCCCAAGTAGCTGCAGACATGAGAATGCAAACTCAAGATACCAGCAGGGCTCAGTTTCAAAGCAAAGGTTGTCTCTGCTACTCCCATTACATTATGTCATGGGCTTTAATTAGACAATTACTTAACAGAGGTATTCCTACCATACCCAGAGGGGAACAGCTTTGGCTGAAGCACAAAGGGGGTTTACAACCCTTCACTGGCCAGTAAGAACTCTATGTTTGATAACAAAACTACTACTTTTTATGTCCTGTGCTACAAACAAGTGAAGGAAGTTAAATCCAGAAGAACACTTTGGTAGTTTCATTTAAGAACTGCTGAGGTCTCTGCTGTTTAGACAGTATCTATTTCCTGCAGGAAGGCTCCAGTTAAACAATTCCAAGCTCTAAGATGTCAGGGATCAGCCTGCACTGATTCACAGCTGCCTCTGAACGTGGGTACAGGCAGAGCTTGGCAGGATCCCACACGAGCAGTCAGGCAGTGATTCAGCCTGAAATCAGAGCCCATAGAAACAAAACCAAAATAAAATCCCCCACAAACTACTTAATGTAAAGCTTGGCAAGAACTACTGGCTATTAGAAAAGAAAACTGGCAGTAAAAAGGAAATGAAAATGGAGTCCAATTGGGTTACAAACGAGGCTGTTAATCTCCCTGGCGTGTGCTGCTTCCTGCTTTAAGGATTTCAGGACTTTCAGCCATGGACATTCCAGCTATAGGCACACCAGCAGTGCTGTGCTTTCCAGGCTTAGGGATGTCTGGCCTTTGGACTGAAGCCAGACATGAAAAACTTCAGATCCAAACACATTTTTGAAGAAGAGCAAGACATGGAAACAAGTTTCTGAGGAAAACGTATTTTTGGAGTAGTTGTGAACGTTTCAGCAAAAGGAACAGGAAGGATTCTCTGAAGGATTCTCTGATGTATTTGAAACTTCCAAGACCTTCCAGAAATTAGTGTTATGCCAATTTGTCTGTGAGAAAGGACAACCTCTCCCTGGTACAGCTTCATAAAGAATCTAGGATTTGCTTATGAAATAGCACTATCCATTTGGGATCAGCTGCTGCTGAGCTAGTCTCTACATCTTGGATGCAGAGTGCTCCTACATACCTTTGGAGACTCCTGGGTTCTCCTGCAAGTAGGAAAGGTCATCATCCTGCTCAATGGCTGATTGTTCAGGCTTGGGGATCTCTTTGTTGTGCTCAGTGCTGAGCTCATCCTTCTGCACTTCAAATTCTTTGTCCTCAGAACAAGGTTGATCTTGTTCCTTGTGAGTGTCCACATCCACAGCCTCTGGAGCAGGCTCTGGGAGTTCAGCTGGGTGTTCTGCCTCCCCTCCCAGGGAACCTGCTTCTTCACCCCCAGTTACAGCTTCCTTTGCTGTGACAGGATCAGTGGCACCTGCATCAAAGTCCCTTCCCTCTGCACTCTCCAGGCCGCCCTGTGAACCCTGGCAGAGCTGACTGTCCTCCTCAAGGACATCATTTGCAGTCTTACATCTCTTCCTCGGGGGTTCTTCATCACTGACAGGTTCTGTGTCTTTTCCCAGCTGCTCCTCCTCTCCCAGACACTCCTCTCCCT